CTCACACACCATTCACTCACTCACACACACCTATGGGCAATTTGGTGACTCGCATGTTTTTGGACCGGAGTACCTAGATGACACCCCACAACACAGGGAGAACATGCAACCTCCCCACACACGGAACCCTGGTGGAGACTCGAACCCGGGTCCCAGAGGTGGAGGTGACACTGCTAACCATTGCACCACGGTGCCACCCTGAGAAGTGTCCAACATGTCTAAAATTTGAGAAAATTTTCAGCTTTCAAAACAGCCCTCTTCTGCTATGATGACAGCACTGCAGAATTGTGGCATCCTTTCAACCAGCTTCCAGATGCAGCCACCTTGGACACAAGTTGGCTATCATACTCTTACTCTTTGATCCAACTCATCCCAAACCAGCTCTGAAGGGTTTAGGTCGGGGGATTTTGGGGGCCAGATCAGCTGTCACAGCAATCCTCCGTCTCTCTCCGCGTTTACAGAATAATACTTACCACATAACCTGGAGATGTGTTTAGGGTCTTTAGCTACTGGAAAAAGTAAGTGTGTCCAGACTATTTACTGGTTCTGTAGATCCCAGACCCACTGAACCAGCGCGGCCCTACAGAGCTGCCGACTCACCTGCTCGTCGCTCCGGTGGTAGTCCTCATCTCCCTCTCCCCTCTCCTCTCCAGCCTCCTTGGTGCCCTTGTCCTCTGACTTAATGTCACCTGCAGGCACCGCAGATGGATGAGAAGGTCGTGTTACCCACTGGCACTGTGCGTATCAGGGCTTTCTTGATGAGGACCAAACTTATGTACACTGTAACCTCTGAGAAGAGTAGCTTCCAGTGTATTTTGCAATGTCTCAGTCACAGTCGACCTTGACTGCTGTTGTTTCTCCATGTGAGAAAACTGAGCAGCAAATATGTGTTGCACATCGTCTTAGATCGGGGTGGGGAAGCTTTTTCAAATGAAGGGCCATTTAAATGTCTATAACATCCTTCAAGGACCACATGAAATTACTGAGCGTGTATCACACTAACCTTGCGCAATATTACATAGCGTGATACTGTATCGATTTTCAATTAACAGTTTACAAGATTCAGGGCAGATGCTGGTTTATTTAGTGTTGTGTTTAAACCCCAACTGCTAGACTGCAGTGTTGTAATGTTTTTTTTCTGCCATCTGACTCTCCTACTCCAACATAACAATATGAACTCAGACAGGGAGGAGCGTAAGGGCACACCGCTACTGTTAGCATTAGCACGCCTAGCTGACTAGTAATGTTACTGACGGCTGAGTCCGACTCCATGGCATACAGAGCCGAGGTGGGGGCTCATCTTTTATTTTTTTTTACTCATATAGGGAAATGTTAATTCCTTTGCTCAGGTGGCCCAAAAAGTTGTGCTATATTAGATGTTTTCCGGGACTGTGATAAATGCAAATGTAGATCCCACTTTTAAATGTTATGCATATCGCGCTGTGTTCTTTATACTATGACAGTTTTCATAAAATTAGATTTTAAAAATCGGATTGTATTGCCTTACTTACAGTATCGCAATATATTGAATTGTAACCCCTGTATCATGATACATATCATATCGCGAAATTCTTGCCAAATTTAATTTTTCTTTTTTTGTATTTTTCAGTTGCTCTTTTTGTATTTATGAAATGCCTCATGGGCCGGATCCTAACTGTCCCGTCTTAGAAGGATCCATCCATCAACAAAATTTGGCTGGAATGGAACCTTCAGAACTGAACCACCATCTCAGACAGTTTCAAATGTATCATCAACTTCTTTTGAGTCCAAAGGACCGACGTTCATCTGACGGAGGCAGGAGTAGGAATGGGATTCATAGAAATAAAAAAGCTGAACCCGACCCCCCAGTCAGACAGGGTCCACTGCTGTGTGCATCCAGGATGGCTATATAATGCAAATGCATATTTCTCTAACGCTTTTATTAACCAAACTCTTGCACTATTTCCGATGAAGCCCCTCCCTCCCATGAATGATGCCAGTTTCCCTCCCACAATCTGCAGCCTGTGGGGCTGGGGGGGTCACTTCCTTGAGCACTATGCCCCCTGTTGATCTAACCAGAAATGAATGACTCAGGCCTGTAGCTTAGACAGGTGGTTGACAGATGGAAGGATAGTACCCCTCTCTCTTTTTCTCTCTCTCTCTCTCTCTCTCTCTCTCTCACACACACACAATTTGTATTCATATCTTTCATTTCATTTTCATTAACCAAACAAGATACAATGCATTTTTACTTTTTTGATTGCAGTCACATATTTTTTTTAATTGAGTTGTCCCCTGGTGAGGACCGAAAAAATGGTCCCCACAACGTTAAAATAACAGGTCTTTATCATATTGTGGGGACAGTGCAATATATAAATAACCCACCCACGCACACACACACACACACACACACACACACACACACACACACACACACACA